CTTTTGGCCTGTGCACTGAAGAGCTGGAAACTTCCAGTGAATGCAGTGAGGACAGCTCTACATGTTCAGGAGATTGGAAGGGAGATGGATCCTTAGAAAACAACTGTTCAGGGTGTTGGGCCATGTGGCATATGCTGTTTTGTGCTTTAACCTACTCTGTATCATGGAGTCTTGAAAATACCTAGATTGTCATTAAAAACAGCAGCCCTTAAGCTTTTAGATCCATCCAAATATTTACTATTGCAAGCCATACATAGTAGTTACTGTAGGATAGTTGATATTACCTGCAATTAGAAACTGCTTTTGTATTTCTTACTGCTTTTCTCTTTTAAAAAAATCCACACACTCAAAGAGCCAAAAAATGGCATTAAATCCTCAGTGTGAGGACAAAAGTCTAACGTAGGGCAAGATTTCAGTGTGATTTCCCCTCCAGAATTCTGAAATATCTTGAAATAAACCTGTCCCTGTGAAGATGAGGGGAAATCCATAAATAGAAATTACTTAAAACTGCACAGCTAATACTGGTTTTTTTCTTACTCTTATTTATTCAAAGCATGTACATCGTACAAATCATTGCTGCACCTACCAAAGCCGTATTTATGGGAGGAGGGCAGGGAAAGGAGTTGGCATGTGTCATAACTGACTTCCTTCAGTGTTATTCTCAGACTGCAGTGACATAACTCAGATGTGTGACAAGCTTTGATTAAAAACCTCCATTTTAAATATTCAGATGGTTATTTAGAGGGAGTTTGGGCACTACTCTTTTTAGTGATTTGAATAGAAATTACAGTAACGTTTTTGTTAAAGCTGCCCTTTGAGAGTGGAATTTGCAGGTACCAAGCTACTTTTGGTGTGCTATTCTTATAAACCAGTCAGTTTTCAGGTACTGTTTTTTATCTTTGTGTGGCTCCCCAGTATTAATTATAAATCATCTTTTGGGTTGGGAGGTTTTGATTAATGTCAGTACCATTCGGTATGCACGCAAAGGCCTTCATGATCTCTCTGAAGCGTGGTCCAGTTGTAGCTAACCAGAGCCCCAAGAGGAGGGAAACAGCAGCGTTTGCAAGCAGCATTTGTGTCTGCCAGATTTACCAAGAGATGTATTGACTCTGATGTGGATTGAACAGAGCTGCCTGAATCTGGAGCACTGACTGACCAGGTTTATTAAAAATATAAAAATAAAAGAAATAATACAAAACAATGACAGCTTTGAGCTTCATAATGTATGTTCTCTGAGGACACCCTCTAAAATGGAATCTAGCAGGGGGATTTGGATCTGCATTTAGAGAGGCTGCAAACAGCAACTACTTGAATGCAGAGCACATCAAGGATGTGTCTTTCCCAGTACCTAAAAAATAGCAAGGTATGCAGTGCTAGAGGCTCTTCTATCTCTAAATGGCACCAAAGAGAGCAGCTGCACATGAAGTGATTTAATACTGAACACATTTACTACACTCATTTCTATCAATTTATTTTGTATATATAGCTTTTTATACACATTTTTCTTAATTACGTAACTGTCATAAAACATTATGAAGTTGTAGTTTGTTTTAATGCTGATTAAAACTGGTGTTTGGCTGTTTGTTTTCTGCAGCAATTACTTGAATCTTGTTTCCATTAGGTAGTGAAGTCTGATAATGTTTACAGGATGGCTTTCTTTGGTTTGGGGGGGCTTCCCCATCTTTATTCCCAGCCCCTGCCCCAAGAAACAGAGCTCATGCTGAGCAGTCAAGCAGATGTGTCAGGGATGAAGTATTTGGATCACACTTATTGTTACCAAAGCAGTTATGGTGACATGCAGAGTCCCTTACGTTTACATTGCTTAGCTGACCACTACACGCTTAGTGTAATCCTCTGATTTCTCCTGTCCCTGAGCCCATTGTTATCAGCTTTGTCGTGGGAAACCTAAATCTTTCTGAATGACAATTTACAATCATAAAGCTATCCCAGAAAGAGGCAGCGTTCCTGCTGTTAAGTCTGCCCCCTTTTGAACTTAAGATGAATGAAACATCCCTGGGTTATCTCTGCAATTGCTTTTGTATTTGCCAGCAAGAGTCATCAACATTTGCACTAATCACAACATCCCAGCTGTTCTACTTCCACATGGTTATTTTTAATTGTGCTGCCTAAACTTGTAATGAGTTGTATTTAAGTTTGGGGTGATGTGTAGAAGAGATGTAATAAATACGCACTTACTGTATTTTTTGTATGTTACAGATAGGACTAGTCCTATGCACAGAGAAAACATTGCCATTTATAGTTTAATACTTGAAGTAACTTTTTAAACGGGCTTTTATAAAGGAATTAAATACAAAATCACATTGCTTTGCCTGGAAGTTCCTTCATGTTTTAATTGTATTTGCAATTTCCCCCTATGTATACTTTTCCACAGAAGTTCTCTTAAGCTGTTTATAACCAATGGAAGTGCATTCAAGATTTTGTACATCAGTGTTCAGACCTGTTCATACTTCTCTGAAGTACAGTTCATGTTTAAATAAAAAAGTACCATTTTAAGCCTCTTTTCCAAAGTGATATGAATGGACTTGACACTTGAATTCATTGCTGAATGCAACATCAACTTAATAAAAGTATGTGAAAGAATCTGAAAATTGCTCAGCTGTAGCATGTGTGTATTAGATTAGTGAAAAAAATTGCCTCCCTGGGAAACACTGTGTAACTGTTCTAGTTTTTACACTCCAGCTGCAACAAACCTAAGATTACACTTCTTGACACATCTTCCAGGTCACTGGGTCTTGAGGGGAAATATAAAACCTGACTTGTGGCTAACTATATTCCTTCAGGACACTAAGCCTGACTTAGAAGTCAGTCACTCAAACAGAAATCAGCCATGTTCCTTTTTGATCAGAAACAATCTGTGTAAAAAGGCAGCAACACCCAAGTTGACACTGACATGACACTGACACTGGCATTTAAATTAAACAATTCTTTCGTAAAGTTTTTAAAAAGGGGAACATTTTATGATATCCTATGAGTCCCAGCCTCCTACCCCCATCTCTGTAACTCTAGTTCACCTTGGTCCTTGCATGCCTGATGGCAGTTGTCTCAAGTGCTGCTGTACACAGAAGAATCCCTTTCAGAAGGGAGAGCTACCAGCAAGAATTGTCTGGCCAGTGCCAGCAGAGAATCCCCTTCAACACAGCAGGTGTGTTCCCAGGCTTTCAGAAGGAAATTAGTGATGCTATATATCTAGGTTATATATAAATCTTTACCACTGCACCTGGTAACTTGCTGTTTTGACCCCTGAAGAACAGAGGACAGGCAGATGGTAGAGTCACACAAAGAACTGTCCTTTTCTAAGAAGACAATAATAACAAAATATACAGTGTTCCACAGGACTACTTTTAATGTAACATTCTGTACACCGTAGCAGTCTTACTTCTCATCCGCCCTAATTACACTGAATTACAAACCCACCATAATAGATACAAGGGCAGATCCCATGGCAGTGTATGACATATGCCAAATATAAATATGCTGTGTTACTCAGCATGTCCACTTTTTTGTCACATTTAAGTGGTTTAAATGATCACTGATGTATCTGTGCTCAGGAAACTTGGCTTGTTTCAGGCGTTTGAAAGCTTCCCACTTGGCACGTCTGTGTTCCGTGTTGTGTTTGTACTCCTGCTCCCGGGTCAGGTAGGGCCGGCTCAGCCAATATTCATTCTCTGCTTCAATTTCCAGTCTTCGGACCATTGCTTGCATCATTGTAAGGGTAACCTGTCTTGGTCGCCTGTACTTCCCAATCCATTGGTGTCCAGGAATTCTCTTTCGGAGTAATACTGTTGTTAAAAACATTGTGCCTCAAAACATAAACAGAAACATCAAATACTCATTACCTTAGGAACAAAAATACAAGTTTGACAAGAAAAATTAAAAGCTCTGAACACTCTCCACTGCTTTTTAGCTGGTTTGAAGGTTCAAGTTCAGAACCTGATACAACCATCACACACAATAGGCAGCACAATGCCAGACATACTGGAAATTTAAGATTAGAAAAAGGAAATCTGAAATATTTATGTATCTTAAGAATTTATTCAGTTACCCTTACACTGCAATTAAAGCATATCCCCCACAGATTTTTTAAGAGAAATCCAGCCCCGAGGTACTCCAGAACAAAGGGTTCTTCATTCATGCCCCTTTTCCAATAGCTAACTGCACTGTCAAAACGAATTATTTCCAGGTCTGTCCTCTGGATCCAAACCTGGCGTTTCCTCAGTATTAGCTTCTGAACCACAGTCTCTCCATAAACTTACTAGTATGCAATCACCTGGTTTTGTATTCTGACTAGGGGAAATCTGGTCAGTAGAGAAAAAGAACAGTCTGTATCTCACCGACAGGCGAACATGGAAAGCACCAAGACTGACACGATACACAGGGTGCAGCAGAGGCAAGAGAGGCCGAGTTACATTTAGACTTTACAGGCGTGCTCTTCATTAACCTGTCTGTTAGTCCTAAACACGCCTCCCAGGTCTCTTATTACACTGTACTCCATGAACTCGTATCACAGAATATTCTGAGTTGGAAGGGACCCACAACGATCACTGAATCCAGGTCTTCGCCCTGCTCAGGACATGCCCAAGAATCACACCATGTACCTGAGAGCGTTATCCAAACGCTTCCTGAACTGTCACTCTTGGTGCTGTGACTGCGGAAGTCAGACGAGCACTTTACACCGCACAGTCCAGCAGAGAGAAGCCACCCTACCCCGTTCCCCCGGTGCGGACGCGGCCCGATTGAGAAGCGAAACCGCGGGGCTCCGCGGGGGCAGGGCTGCGCCGGGCCCTGTTCCCAGCCCGCCCTCACTCACCTGGAAGCTCCGGCAGCCCCGGCCCGCCGCCGAACCAAGATGGCGGCAGCGGGCGGGGGGCGACGCGCGGCTCTCGCGAACGCTCGCGGGGCGGGGGCCCGGGCACGCCAAATGGGGCGCGCGCTGGCGGCAATTCGAAGCCTTTTCGCGGCCGCGCGGCCTGGCTCGGCTCCCTCAGGGACGGCCCGGCCCGGCACCTGCGGAGCTCCCCGCCATGGACGTGTCCAGGGCCTTCTTCAGCCAGCTGCGGGACCTGGCCGTCACGCTGGAGAAGGAAGTTAAGCAGCTGAAGGAGGCTTTGCGCAGTGAGGACGCGGGTAAGCGCAGCCCGTGGTGACGGGCGGTACGCCTGGGACCGGTGGCTCTGCAGGAGTTCCTCCGGATTCCTTCCTCGACTTACCATTGTGCCCCTGTGCTCCTCTGGTGGGTGCGGGGACGAGCCTGGGAATAGCTCGGGAAGGAATTGTTTGGGCTCCTCCCCACGTTGATTTATCTCTGAGCTCCTTCGCGGCTGCTGTGGTGGTTTAGCCCCAGCCAGCAACCAAAGACCGCACAGCCGCTTGTTCCCTCCCCCGCCAGCGGGATCGGGGAGAAAACCGGGAGGGTAAAAGCCAGAAAACTCGTGGGTTGAGATAAAGATAGTTTAATAGGAAAAAAAAAAAGCCGCGCACACAAACAGAACAAAGCAAGGAATTAATTCACTGCTCCCCACGGTCAGGCAGCTGTTAAGCCATCCCCAGGAGAGCAGAGCCCATCGTGCATTACGCTGACTTGGGAAGACAAACACCATCACTGCAAACATCCCCCCCGTCCTCCTCCTTCCCCCAGCTTTATATACTGAGCATGATGTCACACCGTCTGGAATATCCCTTTGGTCAGTTGGGGTCACCTGTCCCGGCTGTGTCACCTCCCAGCTTCCCGTGCACCCCCAGCCTCCTCACCACCATGGCAGTAGGAAAAGCAGAAAAGGCCTTGGCTCTGTGCAAGCCCTGCTCAGCCATAGCAAAATCATCTCTATATTATCAACTCTGTGTTCAGCACAAATCCAAAACAGCCACATACCAGGCACTGCAAAGAAAATTAAGTCTACCTCAGCCAAAACCAGCACAGGTGAGGTTTTTATCGCAGAAAAAAACCAGGGTGAACATGACAAAATGGGAATTGCGTTCTTATGCTTCTTTTCATGGATTGATATAGGAAGTTCCTCCTATAATGTGTAATCTAAACCTGCTCCCTCTTAGTTTGAGTCTGTTCCCCCTTGTCCTGTCACTACATGCTCTTGTAAATAGTCTCTCTGCATCTTTCTTGTAGGCTCCCTTCAGGTACTGGAAGGCCACCATTAGGTCACCCCTAAACCTTCTTTTCTCCAGGCCTTTCCTCTCCCAATTCTCTAGGCCTTTCCTCCTAGGAGAGGTGCTCCATCCCTCCAATCATCTTGGTGGCCTCCTCTGGACTTGCTCCAACAGGTTGATGTCTCTCCTGTGCTGAGGACCCAGAGCTGGATGCAATGCTTGAGGTGGAGTGTCACCAGAGTAGAGGGGCAGAATCCCCTCCTTTGCTCTACTGGCCACACTGTTGTTGATGCAGCCCAGGACAAGTTGCCTTTCTGGGCTGCAAGTGCACATGGACAGGTCATGTCCAGTCTCTCATCCACTAATACAGGAGATTGCATTCTGATGTAGAATGTACTTGCATGCTAAAACACTAATGCACTCTTTTTATTTTCCAAACCTTTTTATGTGAACATGCATATCAAAGACTCTGAAGATGAATCTTCAGCAAGGGTGTTGCATGACCTTCATGGTGAAATCAAAACTCTGAAGGTAACGTCTTAACTCATTTCCTTCTTGAAAAATTGTGGAAGTGTTTGTGGGGGTGGGGTGTTTTCCATAAATGTATAGTTCTGTTTTGATCAATAAGCCACAATTCTACTTTGTTACTCAGCAGTTCTGACCCTTATTTTTACTCACTTACCTCCAAGTCCTCATAATGGCTGACAATATCAGGGTAATGCCCAAAAACCTGTGGGTGACCCTAAGTAGTTTAGCAGTGTTGATTAGTTTGCAGCCACTATTGTGACTCAGGTTGTCAGGGGACAAAGGTAACAGGGAAGTTGTAGCTGTGCCAGGGTGTAAGTATGAGAAGGATTCAGGAGCACAAGGTCCCAGCAGAAGAGGTAAGCTTACTTCTGTTCAATGACTGGCCCTTAGAATAAAGTCAGTCTTCACAGAAGTGTCAGTACCTTCAGCCATTCAGTTAAACTTGTCAAGAATGTTCTCTGTTTCTTAAACAGAAGTAGGAAAAATGGATTATTGTCGCTGGGTATCTGTCGAAGGGTCCCGGTCTGAGGGGGGAAGAAGACACACACCACACACGAGGGAGTGAGACAAAGAGATGTCTGCCTGCTCAGCACAGCAGGCAGCCTTTTATTAGGTTCTCCTACTTCTACTTTCCCACACACACAACACAAACATATTTCCACAAAAACACTGAGGAATGCGCACCTGCACTTCAGCCACACAGCTCAAGGCTGTGTCCATGGGAACTATCTAGTTAGCTTCACTGCTCCCATGGAAAACGGCCCAACACCCCACAACACTCCAAACTCCTCAAACTTCAGTTGTGGGGCTGTGACTTCACCCCACAGATTATAGAAATAAGCAAGTGTAGAAATAATTGAGAGTTAAGCTAGGATATAAGCTTGAGGTTCACCTTTTACTTTGCACTAATTCTTTGTATATGTGGAGTAGGAGTCCAAACTAATTGCTGTCATCTCATATTTTTATGGAGTAAAAACGTATTTTTGTTTGCAAAGTGAACTGTCATGCTGTGAACTGTCATCATAATTTAACTTTTCTAAGTTCTTATGTACTCATGGCCTATATATTCCTGATATTCTGTAGGTGTATATATACTGATAGTTTTCAGGTATAGATAAGACCTAGTTTTCAGGTACAGATAAGACCTAAATTAGCTGCTTCATCTGAATTGCAGTTGAATATTTACTCCCAAAATGCCCCATGTCTAAACAACTACCATGTGGTGATTTGAAAACCAGTATTTCTATTTTTTTTGTTTCCCCTCTCTGCCCCCAAAGGAACATGTTAATGCCAGTTTTGGTAAGAGTTGCTCTGAAAACCAAGCAGTTCGTGAGTTTATGAAGGCACATGAAATACTGGTGCAAAGAAATGCAGCAGATCTTGGAAAAATAAGAGAGCTGTTCCAGAAGTATGGCTACAAACCACCTGTCAAAGACGCTACAGGTAATATTTCTTGGCAATACAGAATGTGAAGAAAAATATAATTTTATAAAATGTTTCCCTTTAGCTATGTGTATATTTCTATTAATTAAGAGATCAAGTACATCTATATTATTTGCTTTATAATAATATTCAGAGGGTAAAAGATTTTGTTGTGATTGGTGCCATGAGAATAATTCAAAACACATACACTTGGAGTTAGATCTCCTGGCATGGTTTTATGTTAGTATGTGTTGGTTGTTTTATTTTTTCAGTAATAATTATATTCAGAAAACATGTTAGCAAGACTGGTTTCATAACACAGAGAATTACGCTGCTACAGCTTCTCACACTTGAGAAAGTATTGTAGATGCACCTCAGTTGGTTCACATTCATAAGTGACAGTTCTATTAACTTAAATCACCACAGAGAAAATCTTAAAATAATGTGTTCTTCAGCACAGATGAGACAGTAGAATTATGTACAGGGATTAGGTGACATGTGACAAGCAGTAGTGGCTTAATCATTGGAGGGGAGGGAGATCCTTAATCCAGTAAGAAAATGCACACACACCTGTCTGAAAAATTCAGGTGTGCCAAATGAGTTTAAAATACTACAGCTGTCAGTATGACACATACCTCTTTGAGTATTAAGGGCCCAGTCAGCTTTCAAAAAGCCTTTGGCAGGGCACACCTTCACCTTCTCTCAGCATTATCCCATCATTACAAAACAAAATTGTGGTCATGGACCATATTCTTGCATGAGTTAAGCTACTACAGCTGTTTTACAAAGATAGGGCAGAAGGCTCTGATTGTTATAGTACCTTTCTTCCTGTACTCTCTCTGCCTTTAAATAGCTCCAAACAGAGCTACAAGGTTAATTTATTTTTTTAAGATGTATTTTTAAGCTAAGTGCATCTGAATACATGATATCAATGCACATAGAAAGGTATATTACTTTAAATAGCCTCCCTCCCCTTACCCACTTCACAGAATCACTTAGGCTGAAGAAGACCTGAAATCATCGAGTCCAGCTTATGACCAAATACCATCATGTCAACTCTACCGTGGCACTAAGTGCCATATCCAGTCTTTCCTTAAACACCTCCAGGGACAGTAACTCCACCACCTCCCTGGGCAGTCCATTCCAATGTCTAATCACCCTTTCTGTGAAAAAATTCTTCCTAATGTCCAACCTAAACCTTCCCTGGCACAGCTTAAGACTGTCTTCTCATCCTGTCACTTGTTACCTGGGAGAAGAGACCAAACCCCACCTAGCTACAACCTCCTTTCAGGCAGTTGCAGAGAGTGATAAGGTCCCCCTGAGCCTCTTCTTCTCCAGGCTAAACAACCCCAGCTCCCTCAGCCTCTCCTCAGAGGACTTGTGCTCCAAACACTTTCCCAGCTTCATTGTCCTTCATTTATTATATCCTGCAGAAATTCATTAATGTTTTGGGGTGTTTCAGTTTATCTAACTCCAAAAATGTACAAGTTACATATTTTTGCAATGGACTCCTGTTATCCAAAAAGCTATCTTCTTTCACAAGTTTTTAGTTGCTGCTTCATAACCTTTCTTCAATACTGATTATCTGAAGAAGAAGCATTCTAGTACTGTGCACCCTTTGCTCTTTCCCCAAAAACGTTATCATCTCCATGCAGGGAGATGAATTCTATGAAAAATACTCTTGTGTAAAAATCTTTCAATTTCATCTTTCTTAGAAATAATATTTACCAGCAGAGTGAAATTCAGTAAATGTGTGACTTATATTATAAATATAGCTTAGCCTGATACGAGGTTTTGATATGTGTTGCAGTATCAGGTTCAGTCCTTTAAAACAAATGAAGGAATCTATTTTTACAATAATAAATGAAAAATTTCGAATACTGGGGAATTGTCCCAATTTATTTTATAAATCTTAGAACAGAAATTCTAACATAATTTTTTTTCACTTCTTTTCTTAAAAAGAAGAAGAGGAAGGAGCTAACAGTGAATTGACAGCGTCTGCCCAGAATAAATCTGATGAAGAAAAAGCAAATGATCTTCCTGCTTGTACTGAGAAGTCACTGTTGCCCAAAACCCTACTGCGTAGCCCCCAGCTTTCTGATTTTGGTCTTTCACAATATGCTTTCTCCAGGCCTTGGAGTGCAGTGAAAACACAGAACACAACAAATACACATCAACAACAGTCAAAGAATGAGACTCCACTGAAAATACAAACCCCCCGTACTTTGCCCAGAACACCAAAATGTAAGCTGAAGATGGATGGTTATGAGTTTGCAACACCAAAACTTGAACACTTTGGCATTAGTGAACATACCATGTGTATGAATGAAGAATTTACGACGTCACTTATTCATAAAACTGCTCAGACAATCAAACAGTAAGTAGGTTACTGAAGTTCAGGTTGTTTCTCTACTGAAATAGGTGTACTAATTTCTTTCTGCTGTTGCCCTCCTCTTTGTCTTCAAGCAGGTGATAGGGTGATATCGACCAGCTGGTTGGTCCTATGTCTTTACTGAACTCTCTACATGTCTTTTCACGTACCCATTGCAGTGCAAACAGTGCCAAATGCTGCCATGAAATGCATCTGATCTGCTCCTTCCCTTGACTGCACCACGATATGAATCTTCCATACACAATGTATTTACAAAGGGAAAACACTGCAGTATGTTTGTGATCTTTTGCTTTCCCTAACCGTGGGTTCAGCTCTGGGGATGTGTTGTCTGCACAGCCAATTGAAAGGTTTCAGAAGCTTTAGGAATATAAACACAATAAACGACTTGCAAAGCACTCAGTAAAATGCCTCATTGTAAAAGCACTGGGTTGTCTCTTACATAAGCCCCACCTTCAAACAGTTTGCTGGTTTTGCTCCAGTCTTCTCTTGAAAAGACATCTCCAGATTTTCAGTGTTCTAATTATGAAGAAAAAAATTGCAGCAGTGAGTTATAAAACATCTTAGCAGTATAACTTATTTTCCTATACTTCCGAGGTAATGTAAAGGTAGTCAATAGGTCATATTTTTATAATTAGTATTAGCAACATGTTCAATTTTAAAAGCTGACAGTAGCTAAATATTTGATATTTAGAGAAATCGCTCAAAAAACAAGAATCGTATTCATAAAAACCACTTTAAAAATTCTACTTATCATTCTTACTGTAGAAACTAAAAATGAGATGGTTTCAGGTATCTATAATACTTCCAAGGCAAAACTGACTTCAAAAGTTACTTTTTTTTTAACCCAAAATTTGAGACATATTCATCTAAGTAAAATATACAAAATGGTTTGTTGGGGGTTTTTTAAGCTGAGGCATTTTGTAGAGAAGCTCTAAATTTGGTTCCCATAGCTAACTTTTTAAACACTTAAAATCATTTTCTTATAGACACACTTTTGCCTATAGTTTAGGTAAGCTTCCACTTTTTGCCTGGTTATATGCCTCTTAACTGCATATGTCATTCTTCTGCTAGAATATCTTGGATATGAAAAAGTAATTTTAAAAATTTCAGTTTCCAATATTGTAGAATTGATATTAAATGGCTTTTCACTCTGAAGTTGCTACATTTTCTTTTAAAATAATTTGGGGATTTCTTCTTTTAAATAGCTATGTAAATATTATAATTACTCTAAAGCTCTGTAGTATTTGATTAAGTAATCTTATTCAAACTTAAAAATTCATTTAAAAATCTTTTAATGTTCACAATACTCTTATTAGTTTTAAAGCAACAACGATTTCCTCTTGTTGCTTAGAATTTTGTAGGTAACAGGCAATTCAAAATAAAATAGACTGTACACCTAATACAGAATTTGTCATCTGGGACATCTGTCCTACCCTGGACATCTTTTTGTTTGTTTGGTTTGGGTTTGGTTTCTTCCTAATGCCTTGGACTGAAATCTCAGAGTATTTGATAATTTGTGGCTGGACTGAACATTTGCATGCTACAAATTGCTGCAGTAGAATCATAGATGAAAAAATAATCTTTGAGAAAACTAATTTTTGACTTGTATGTTGATGAATGAATACTAGAAAAGTGATCAGGCTGACAGTATTCCTTCAATTGTGGCTTTTTCATAATATTTGAGAGCTAATTGAGGGGTTTTGTTTTCAGGTTGGTTAAAACAGATGATGATGGAGAGGATGTGCCAGAAATGACAGCCAGGGAAATCATGGTTACTTCTGTGCCAAAATCAAATGTGAGAGCTGAGAATGGTAAGTTAAAAATACGTGAAATAAATATACATATACACTTTTTTAGAGGATGCATGTGTAAATGCATTATAAATACATGGTAAACTTCAATTGTGTTTCAGGTTAAATATAGTTAATTCAGGCCTAGTCATTGTATGAGTACTAATGTCTAAAAAATGAAATGTTGATGGCTTCTGTGGGAAAGTTTCTCACTTCAGTATAAATCTTACCTCATTCTTCTCATATCCAGCTGGAATTATACAGAGGAAGTAATCATTTTGTAACTGCAGCTTATCCTTATTTGAAATAAAAATACTGTTTTGCCAACTTAGCCTTTTTTTTTCTGAGAATACCCATAAGATCTCTTTAAGGACAGGAAAGAAACCACTTTGAGAGAGGCTAGTGAGATGGTAATTTAGGTCTTTCAAGAGTAATGACAAAGAGCAAACTTCTTTGAGAGGAGAAATATGTTCTTTTAAAAATCTGTGAGAATCTTGGGACAAACAGTGGCAATTGGATACATGAGAAGGTAATGCAATGCTGATTTAAGCTGAGCTTCTTCAGTTGCATTCAGTAATGGGGCTAGAATGATTACCTTTTTTTTGGCATTTGCTGCTTTTAAGGAACACTGTAATTTGGATGGATCAAACAAAAAAATATCAGCTAAAATGATACAGGCATTTTAGAAGATGCAAATCTGTGAAAAACTTAGAAATTAAACTGGAACTGGTAATATTTATATGTGTGTGTGTGTGTGTTTATGTATGTATTTTTATTTATATTTTGCTCACTCTTAGTATCAGCAGCTGACTGGATGGCTTCTCCTATGGTAGTTGTGTTCTGTACTCCTGATGTGAAGGTCTCTTCCAAAACAAATAGAACAGTATTACCAAGGTCACCAGAGACAAAGGAACTGCCTCTTCCCAGTCATACAGCAACACCACAGTGTCCAGATTTTCAAACAGGCTGGCTAAAAAGAGAAGCTAAGGTAGTAAATAGCAACTATGTACATTTTCACACACTTTACCATAAGCAGTTTTTAAAAGGTTCATTTGTGATTCTTTTCCAATACTATTTTTTCTTATGTAACTGTAGAAGTTCTTTGTAATGGTAATTTTTTAAGAATATTTACTAAATACTTTACCTAATATAAGTAAATTAACTGAAGGCATTTACTACCTCTTTTGCAGCAGCAGGTAAAGCCAGAGGGAAAGATTGAGTCAGTGACAAAGAGTGATGCAAAAGATAAACACTACAAAGATAGCATTCCTTTTGCTGTGAGCCCTGATGCGTATCTTAAACATCTGGGAGACCCTTCTCCTCCCACAATAAAACACTATGACCAGTTGCTCGATACTCCTCCACCTCCAGAAATAACAAGGATACCAGATGATGTTCTACAGGTCAGCTAATAAACTTTTTTCCGAAATAATTTTAATATCAAAATAGTAAAGCTAAAAGTGCTTAGTTCTGTATGTAATCCATCTGTTTTGAGTTCTTAGATAATTCTTTTTAATCCCATTTAATGTTTCCTGTAGATTCTGTCCAAATACAATCATAAGGCAGGCTCTTCTAAAGCCAAGGAAATGGAGATCAAGGCAGGAAATACTACGAGATATGAGAATGATTCCACTGATTACAGCAACAAAGAGAACAGGTATGATTGCATTTTACAGATTTGGTTGCGTAGTTTAATTTGCAGGAGCTACAAAGATGCTTTAATGCATTTAGAAATCGATGCAGCTGCTTGCTCTTCAGCTACCAGAATAGCTCTTGCTTCAGTGACTCAATAACTGGATTTTGGGATGGTATCTGACTGCCTGTTTGTAAAGAACAAATACTATAGTTGATTGTGTGTTTGAATCTTCACAATTTAAAAAAAAAAAAAAGGAAGGTAGAGTTTTACTGGTTTATCTGTATTTATATTTTACTTGGTGGCAATCAAAGCACCAGCAAATGCTTTCTTTTGAATAAATTTAGGCAATAAAACTAAGAAAATTGGAGAAAAGCACACAAGTGAGAACTGATTTCACAGTTTTGGCAAAGACAAAATTTTTTGAAATGCAAAGCTACAACAAGTATGACTAACCTTTGAACAATGGAACAATAGCTTTATAAAGAACAACACCAGTTTGAATAAAAAGAAGTTTTTATGAGAACTTTATCAAGTGTAGATATTCCTGATTGAATGTAATATATATTATGCTTGTTGATTATCTGTTAAACTTGGAGCCTGTACGGATTGTTTAGGTAAGAGGTACAAGGAACATGTATGGAGTCAAATAATAATTACAACAAAGCAGAATGAAACTGATAAAATTTGGTATCTTGCTATACTTGGGAGTTGGAATCCATTTGATTAGTCAAATAGAGCAAAGCTCTCACTTTAGCTGACCCTCTATTTTTTGTTATCAAGATAAAAAAGACAAGTTTTCGATATTTGTGTCTTCTGCTAATTCAAAATATGATTGAAATAAGCTCATGAACTCATCTGGATATATTTGCAGAGGATATCGCGGAGTTTTCAAGCCAAACATCTGAAATCAAGCTGAAGACCGCGTTGAGACTGTTTCATGTTTGTGGATCTTATCACTGAATCATAACAAGTTCAAAAAGCAAAAGGAAATACTGGTGGGAAGAAAGAGCCCAAAAAAGATTTTTTAAATGAAGAAAAATTCTTTATCCACGATGTGGATAAACTTGTTTGAAATAACAACTTGTGCTTCATTTCCTACTGATGTTATTGGCAAAATGTTTTGAGGGTTTTTAAATATATTATGCTTCAAAGAGGAATGGAGAACGAGGTAGTACTTCAGTTGTTTATTGTGTAGGCTTGCATTGCAGTAGGCTGTAGATAGAGCAGTTGGGTTGTCATAAAGGGAAAGTCCAATGTACTGCCCCAAAAAGTGGGTATCTCTGGCTGTTCTTGTGACACTGTACATCTTTTCAGGGCTGAGTTTGAAGTCTAGTACTTCAACAGTATTGGGTATCTTCAACAGACCTAAGTCTTTTTTTGTTGGAAGAGTAGCTCCTGCTTTACTGTTTAAAGCACTTCTGTGCTTTCGGACACATTCCTGCACCAGGCTCACTGCTACCTCCCTGTCAGAAGGGCATTTCCCACGTGGCTTCTTCCTTAACATACATTGGCATAGTATCAGGTGCTATGCATCTGGTTACTCTGTAGCTCTAGAGGGTGACTCTGGCTCGAATGTGAATTATTTGAAAACGTATTGTGCAATTGATACTGGTTATATATATCTTCAGCTGCTGGAAGAATTTGCTGGCAGGCATTTGGTGATTGCTTACTCTCCTGCGCTGCTACCATGTGTATTCTCTGAGTAGTGGCATCACTTCTGAAAGGGCACATGTGCTCCTGTAATAGCAGACCAAGCTTAAGTTCTCAGAGCTGTTTGGCCGTCTTTTGGTATCAAGTAATCATAGTAATTAGGATTTTTTTCTACCAGCACTTTTACTGTTGTCCACAAGAAACCCCAGTACATATCCTTGTTTGGAGCCAGGTTGCTCTTTCCAGCGTTGGCTGTTCTTCTGAATGACTCCAGGACTGCTCTGACCAGTTGTCTTCCTCTTGATGGCTGAAATGTTGTCATTTATATGAGGGCAAACATGCAACATGTGAGAAGAGAGACTGTCCCAGGAGATGAGGATAAGTGTATGCTTTTCAGAACTCAGTCTGCATTTTTTTGAAATCCTCAATGAAATATGCTAACATCTGGAGATGCCCAGAGGTATTTCTCCACTTGCTTAGACAGACTGCCCTTGTTAAAACTTAGCAAGTAAAGGTGCCTTTTTCCTGCTATTGTGGTCATTCTCCAGGATAAGCGTACATCAAATTAACTGGAGGTGATTTTCTACTAGTTCTGACCTGAGCACAGTGTCATTTTAAATGCTAGTTTCTGTTTAAAAATACCTATGTATTATGTGTCAGTCTGCAAGCGTGATTAAGTTTTGGATACTAAATAAATGTGTCTCAAATGCTTGGTGGCTGCTCTGAAACACTTCTTTGTTCTACCCAATTCCTTCAGAGAGTGAAGGCCAAACCTGCTTCCAGCATCTTTAAAACCGCATGGTGGTATGGATTCTAGTCCTGAATTTCGTGGCCTTGGAAAGGTACAAAATATTCTGCTGCAGAGCAAGAGTCTTTCAGCCAGACAGATTTACCAGCACTAAGCAGGAAGTGTTTCACAGTCTTAATTCTCCCCCTACAGCACTTCATGGCTACTTTCTTGCCCCGAAGCAAGTCAGATACTCTGAAAGACTCCTTTAATGTGAAACGGAACAAGCAGCACTACTGTCCTGGACCTTGCTGTATTCCCCCTACCTGCAACTAACAAAATTCATGGAAGGGCTTATAGAAGTCTTTCCCCTAAACTTGAGAACAATTCAGCACTCAGCTGTCTTTTCTTCCCCTAGGGAACCATGGAGTTGTACCTAGCAGTGCTGGGCTTCTCACTGTAAGCCACTCACATCATTCTTGCCTATTAACATTTTCTGCTATATTTCATAGCTATTTCGTTAACTAATATTAAAAGGATTCAATTAATACTATGAGAAAGAAATTATCTTCAATATGGCAATTGAAATCTTAAAATCTTCTGATCTGCTCAAGCTATGATAGAGGCATGAGACTTTCTGGCATCTGGAAATGAAGTTTTACTAGTTGGTTTTGTTTTTCTTGCCTACAATATTACCCTAATACACATAATATTGTTTGTACTTGTATTTTTTTTTTTATACGAGGAGCATTGCTCTGAGGTAGATATAATCAGAGCAGCAAAACAAAAGCTAGTTTGTCATGCTTCACTTTTTACAACCTTTTAGGTTTCAGGAAGGCCTAAAGAGTAGTTTGAGTACTGGGGGTAGGGGAGGGAAATGACAAGTGAAAGCACTTGAACAGGCTGCCTGGAGAGGCTGTGGAATCTCCTCTGGAGGTATTCAAAACCTGCCTGGACGCAATCCTGTGCAACCTGCTGTAGCAGGGAGTGTGGGACTGGATTATCTCCAGAGGTCCCTTCCAACCCCAACCATTCTGTGATTCTGTTGGAAACTGATCTGTATTCCAAATAAGCTGGGGAGAGAAAGTTTACTGGATTGTTTTATGTTCTTGGTTTTTTCCTACTCAGGTCAATTCTCTCACACAGGTGGTCGTCTGATATACTGGAACAACCAAGGATGTAGCCATGGAGCTGGAGGAGGGTAAAACTCCAGTTAAGCCAGTGTTGCTGCTGGAGAAAGGCTTGTCCTGCTGCACACTAAAGTAATAACCTGTCAGAGTGGGAATGATGCAAAAGAACTTAAAATTTACATGTTGGTTTGTTGTAGGATGAACCTCTAAACAGCATTGGCCTGTCAGAAAGTACAGTTTGGATAAACAGTAGCTAAATAAGTAGCAAATGCAGTAGTTCAGTGAGAGACGGTCATCACCTGAAAACAGGCAAAATTGACTCAGTTCTGTGTTGTGCTTTTTTTAGTTTAGCTGGGGGCTGCTTCCACTAGAGGCTGTTTCCCCAATTCTTTCGCACATAATCTAGGGGCTGTGCAGTTTTACAGTGGATTTGTTCCATTTGCCAAGAGACTGAAAGGGGAAGTAAACAAAAAAGCATTTTCTTTCATTTTCTGTGTTTCTTAATCTTTTTTTATTTTTTTAAAGTATATCAAATGTGTCAGCTAACAGAAGCTTCTCTCCATAATCCCATTTGTTGTCAAAGAATAGTTCTCTCAATAGTTCTGCCAAGGAAGTCCCTTAAGGTGGTCAGTTCTTTTTTATCTGGGAAATACTTTGCCTAAGGTTGAACACAATTATAACTTGCAGTGAAATGAAACTTCCCAGATGGTTGTCAAAGGGATAATTGACAAGCGTTGCTTTCAGTGCTGCCCATTGTGCTTTTATGGATGTTTTTATAAATCACTGGAGCAATAACTACATTCCAGGCTTCCTTGTTTTTTTAAAGCACCATGGACACTTTAAATTTTCTGTAAAATGTAATATTCGCTTTGTTCCCTCTTTTCACTATTTAGATGTTCCATTACTCATGGTAGTTTCATGTGCTCCATCAACAGCTGTAGCTGATTTTGAACCTGCCTTCTGTTTTGGGAGTACCTTGTTGTTTCCCCATGGGACAGTAATACAGAAATTGTGGCATTTATATGGAGCAATGACAACATCCAGTGGCTGCACTATGGAATCACATGTGTGTTAGTCCACAGGAATACAACTTTCTATCAGGAAGATATTGGTTGGTGCTGGCTATATTATCTATCAACTTAAATGTAAAACCTCATGCTGTCCTTACAGTAATACCTAGTATTACAAAGGGGCAGTTGACATCATGGTGTAGGGAGCTGACCAGATCCGTGAATTTCTTTGATCTTGTTTTGCCTAATTCAAATTGAAGAGTTTTAAGTAGCACAAATGCACATTCATGGGAAATGTCCATGGAAGAAGATGCTGTGTTACATGGGCACTTCTCCTGGGGAGAGACCAAGCAAAGCATAGTTTGCAGAATACCCAACAGGAAGGTGTTCAAATGCTTCCATAGTTTTTGGCACAATGTATTCCTGGCTTCAAGCCCTGTGGTTGTGTTTCCTAATGATTGCTTATGCAATTGTAAGGCAGTCTGCGTGGTCCCACCTTTCTTACCCCAGCTGCAGGTCCCACGCCATAGGTTGTCAGTTGTGTCACTGCAGTTGTGGCTGCAGGGGAATCCATTCCCGCTTGCCCAACCACCAGGAACTAATTACTGTTTTCCAAGATTAAATTGTTCATGGACTGTGCACTGACCCGAATCACTGTCTGCCTGCAAAGGTACTGGCAGTTGCTGAGGCATGAGAAGGGAAAGGATGGGGGAGTGGGAGCCGGGACATCCTCCTTCCCTGCCTGAGTGAATTGTATCCTGTCTGTCCAGCTGCTCTGGAAAGGTTGCCTAACACTGTTTCCCTATGAGCACTTCAGTGGCAGCTGAAGCAATTCCTCTTCTTCATTCCAGCACCCAACATTTCTTCTCACAAACTCCCCCCTCCCTGGGTCAACTGCTTGGGTGGTTGTGCATAAATTGGGCTGGAGGGAACAGAGCTGCTAGGACAAATCTGGCCCTTGGAAGAGGGCCCTGTAGGTGCAGGGTGGTGTGGTTTGTTCCTGACTGGCGTGGGCTGCTGTGGCGCTGGTAGGATGTATGTGCCTGTGCTTCCCTTCTCCCTTTCTTAGCACAGACCTCCTGCCCTCCAGTGCAGTGGTTAAGCCAAAGGCAGCAGGAGTGCAGCACCCTTTCCAGCAGGCCCCAGGACAGAAGTCCACACAGCCCCAGCTGAGCAGGCAGGTAGCCGGGGGCTGGTGCGGGACTGCCACATGCTGGGTGCTGCTCTTCAAATGCCCCACCAACCACTACTGGGGCTCTCCCCTCCTGTCCTCTAAAGCCTGGGCAAGGTGCAGTTTCAGCCCCTGTTAAAGACACCCCCAGTCTCCTCAAGTCTGAAGACACTAACTCGTGTTTGCCTGAAACACAGGGTGGAGAACTCACATCAGCCAGCACTCAGTGGAGCTCGCCCAGAGGCACCCTTGAAGCTGTCACTTGCTGAGTGCACCGGATTTTCTTGCTGAGTGTTGAAGAGGTCGAGTTTTTGGGCCAGGATGTCTCTACTTGAAGCCTGTCAGTTCTGTGAGACTAGAAATATCCCAGGGAGGGTCCCAAACACCCTAGCCCTTCTGAACCCAGTCCTTAGGCATTTTTGGGCCTTGCCCCAGTACACCAGCCAGGCATCTCCTCCTCACCACTGATGGGTCTTTGTGGCCAGGCACAGCATGGGCTGTGCATGACACCACACGGCTGATTTATAAGGCACATTCCTCAGCAGGAACGGATGCTATTTTTTTTTTAAACCCAGCTGATCTGCTGCTGTAATGTCCAGACACAAGGGCTGAGACAACAATAGCAGGTAATTGGATTGCTTTGGTTTTAGTAGGGTGCACCTTAGCTGTTGCATTACTCATAGTAATGTTCTTTGAACGTGAGCATAGCTGTTGTCATTCATTTGCTCTGACACAACAGGATTTTGGAG